TATATATATATTACGAATCGATAAATATTCGCCCGAACAAGTTCACTAGCAGATCACGCGAACGTGTGAGCGTGGAGGGCTTGAACACGTTCGCCATGCTACGCAAGTATGTATATGTATATTGTCAAACAAAACTGTCCTGTAAGTTGTCGTCGAGTCAAAAATTTGCCTGGTGTAAAATACGATTATATTCGAGGAGTGCAAGACTTACAAGAAATTCATAATCGCCGTCGAGGCAGATCAAAATATGGTACAAAAAAAAACCGAATTGAAATATGAACCGAGAACCAGATAACAAATGAGAAACTATAACAAACTGTTTCTTTAAAGTTTCACCCATTCATTACGAGGCCAAACCCATATATGTACATATAAGCATACACACATACGTATATACATTTATATATATACATATGTGATATATGTATAAGTAAGTTGACTCTATTCAATCATTGGTATTGAGCCGAATTAAGTCTTTTTTGGGTTTTTTTTTTTTTTAAGATGTAAATAGGTTTTGTAAAGACAATATACTTCTATACAATTTGGTTAACTTTTGGTTTATTCGTACATTAAACTTAATTTCAACTAGTTCGCCAGTTAGTGCAGATTTATCTACACTCATTTGGATTTCCTATTCTTAAGTGGTTATCACAGTTAAAGAGATAAAAGACACTACACCCGTTTTCCGGCCTAGCCTACCTAGGCAATGACCCCTGCATTTTTCCGGGTAGACTATAAGAACTCCGGCCGCACATTATTATATTTAAAATAAAAAAAAAATGAAAATCAAAAGTTAGCGTTGAGTCGTTGTTCAATCAACTTCAACGATTATTTATATTTTTATCTTTACCATATAATTATCCTTTACAATAGAGAAATATATTGTATCTTATATTTCAAAGTTAATGAAATGAAAGATGAAAACCATGAAATATAAAATAAAATATACTTACTAAGTCACTAATATATAAATAAATATATACAAGGTTGCCGGCATTCGGAACGGGTCGAACGCCCGAACGTACGGGACCCCTTCGGAAAGCGTTCGTCCATTCGGGCCGAACGCGAACCAAAAACAAATATGGTATGAAGAAAAATAAACTAAACAGCATTTGTCTGGGCACTGTTTCCAAATTTTTTAACAAATTTGAATTAAAAATTAAATAAAAAAAATAAACACTATGATAAAAATAAGAAAAAATAAAAAGAGAATTAAAATAAGTGAGTGTGCTAGCACCTTTTGGACACCGCCATCGTTGCCGATTTTTCATTATTTTTTGGCATTGACAAATGCCCTGAAAATATACAGATATGCAGTTTACATAATCAATAACTCATTATTTGTTTTTCAAAAATTAATAAATCTTTTTAGGCCCTGAAATAAAGTGAAAATAAAAAGTTGAAAGTGAAAAAAAACAAAATAGTGAGTGGGCGAACACTTTTGACACCCCCATCTTTGACGATTTTTAATGTTTTTTTGGCTTAGCAAAATGACTTCAAAATTTATAGGCGTGTAGGTTACATCATAGAGAACTCACAAAAAACATTCAGAAAAAAAAACTTATTTTTAAGCCCCCAAATTAGTTTTGGCGGGGCCGAACCTGGAGGTGTTCAGCCCCCGAACAGGACCCCGAACGCCCGAACGTTCGGGGGCACGTTCGGTCAGGTAACCCTGTTTATATATATATATTTTATTTTTAAATAATAAGTAATGTAATATACCTATAAGGCCATAACTCAAATAACTACTTTTATTAAGATAATAATAATAACAATAATCATAATAAAGTTAAATAAACAGAATAAAAAATAAAAAATAAAAAATAAAAAATAAAATAATCTACAGATTTATAAACATATAATTTATTATACTATAAATTAGTCTATTTTATATACCATCAAACAAAATTGCCCTGTAAACTGTAGGCAAAGAGGAGAAGAAGACGACAAAGGAGGGGCTGAACCATTTTTCTTTTGTTTTTGTCATGACGCCGATGAATGATGAATAACAATAATGAGCGATGATCATGACCATAAGGGCGAGTTTCTTCAGGTATTCATGTATATATTGCTCTACATAATTGTCACTCGCTCATGATTCCAATCATGTTGATAATGATAGTCATGGCAGTATGTCACTCTTCACTTTTGCATTTACTAAATGATAATGATGACAATGGTCGTTGCCCCCACCCCCCTGTCAATGTCGTTATAATGTGAGAGGAACGAATAACGATGATGATGGCACCTCCATTATGGTGATGATGATTGTGCATTGTATTCATTTCTATAGGTTGCCCCTTTTTTTTTTCATCTTAAAGATGACGACAATGATAATGGCCTAGTCTCCCTTTCATTGGCCCTATCTCCCCTTCTCCACTTCATTTTGTTTTCGTGACGATCATAGACTTCTGCTCTAGGCTCCTCGACTGCTGTTTTTCTCTTTTTTCTTCATCTGAAGTTCATCATAATAATGATCATAATAATGATGAATGATAATGAGGACGATAGCCTGCATCTTTTCTATTTTTCCCTTCGTAACGATGATGTTGGGTTCATCATAATAATGATGAATGATAATGATGGTGACAGCCTGCAGCTTTTTTGTTTTTCCGTTTGTAATGATGATGATGATGAACCCCTCCTCCCCCTCAACCTTCGCCATATCATCCTCCTTTCCCTTCTGTTGTGGCACCTCCTTAGAGAGAGAGAGAGAGAGAGAGAGAGAGAGAGAGAGAGAGAGAGAGAGAGACCTACTTGTGGCGGAGCTGCAGTTTGGCCTAGGACCGTCAATGGCTAGGGCGTACAAAGCAAAGATCATTGGGGCAGGTAGGGGTAAAATAAACATGAAACTGGCCCTCGAAAAAGTTGGGAAGTTCCAAGGCATTTTTCGAAGTTGGATGGTATCCGGTAGTGGTATTTTGCAAAGATAGGGGGTCCAACCCCCAAGGATATTTCACACTGAGATTTCTTTTGTCAAAGGATTTCCCACTCTATTCACTTCCTTTGGGTACATTTTGGCAAATATCTCAACTTCTGGTACGGGGATATTTCAAAATATGTCCCCTATTTTGTTTTCATTTTAAAGTAGAGCTCAATTTTTCTTATAAAAAAAGAAACGAATTCTTGAATTCATCTCCACAGGCTTGAGGCCAAGTCCCACTTACATGTTGAGCTAGGTCCTCATCTGGGGCCAAGTCCCACTTGCATGTTGAGCTAGGTCCTCGTTGATATTTCAACCACTGGCCACACAGGGCGACCTCCATGATCGACTCAGCCTCAAAAGATCGTGTGGCTGAGACATCATTACGGTTTGAAAAATTGTCGGGCCTATTCAGGTTCTGTTACAAATCGTAAGATAAAAATGGTAAACCACCAGTACTTGGCCCAGCTATCAATGTCGAGCCTGGTATACCCCTGCGCGCCAATTTTTGTCGAAGTGCCGGAATACCGTTTCAATTTATTTTTGGCTCGCGCTTCCAGCCATTGTGTTCCGGTACCCCGAAGCCCTAAAGGGACGGCGCGTTAACAGGAAAGCGCCGCGGCCGATAGCTGGGCCAAATACTGGTGGTTTAAGATAGTGCAGCCAGGGGTAGTGGGCTAGCTGACTTGTAGTGAAGTAGTCAGCTAGCTCAGCGGTGCGTCTGCCATCATTACCTCCTCGTGGAGAGGACACTCTAACAGCCCTGGGAAAACAATAACACAGAGCCTTCATGTTGTCTTTGGCCGTCCAATGCCAAATTTGTGTCCTCCGTTTGAGTTGTGCATGCAGCAAGCCGCGCGTTCTGTCCATGTTCGTTTCACATTCTAGTGAGGTCCATATCTCCCACTTTGCCTTCTACGAGGAGAGTTTCACAGAGGGTTGATTTATTTCTCTACTCAACCTTTTCAAAAATGCGAACAAAAGCTTTCAGTAGCATTCGGTTCTTCATTTAGTTTTCAGAAAGTAAGCAAAAAAGTTGTGTAGTTCCCCTTACGTCGTTGGGGGGGTCTCCGTACGGCCCGTCGTTGGGGGGGCCTCCGTATGGCCTATCTGAACGGACGGACAGACAGGTGTACAGTCGGGAGTCTCCATACGGCCCGTCTGAACGGACGGACAGACGGGCATACGGGCGTGTCTCGGCCGAACGTGTCAGGGCGTGGTTGGGGGTTTTGAGGGGGGAAGTTTGACCTACTGAGGAGGTAGGGGGGAAGGCAGGGACCCCCCAGTATTTTATTTTATTTTACCGATTTTTTTTTGTTGAAAAAAAACAACTAATCATTTGATTGATTGATTGATTGATTGATTGATTGATTGATTGATTGGTGTGCGTGTGTGTGGAGGCAACCCCCCCGCAATCAATTAATCAATCAATCAAAAAAAAAAAAGACGAACGAGCATTTGCCCCGCCTGCGTCAGTTTGTGTTCGCGAGGGGGAGGCGCACCTCCCACAGCAAATCGATCAATCATTCAATCAATCAAAAAAAAAACAAATAAAACAACATTTGTCGCACATGTGTGTGTGTGGTGTTGTGTGTGGTGCTGTGTGTGTAAACACACTCTGAGGTAGCTCCAGTACACAACAAGTGTACTCTGCCTGGCAACCCCCAAGGAGAGACCCATGCACTAAACAACTCGAAGGCACTTCTAAAATAACCCCGTAATGGACTGGACGTTGACAACTGAACAGTACAAACAGAACGGACATAGGCAGGAGGGCACGGGGGAGGTGGGTGGGCAAACAAACAGCACAAAACATTGAGGCACGAAAGACATTGCAGCAAAAGACATAGACGAGGGCGTGGGGAACGTGGATGGGCAGACAAACAGTGCAAGGCAGCAAGGCACATACTCAGGTGAATGGCATGGGCTCACAAACAGCTAAAGACAAACAACAACAAGACAAAAACAACAACTGAAAAAAATAAAATAAAAGTTAATGATAGATTGTTTCGTCGGAATTGCACCGTGACCAACTCATCAGGAGGCTGAACCCTCGACATTCAACGGAATGACCGTATTAATGGTTTGGGTCATGCACCCTTTGACCCTTGTTGAAGGCAGACTGTCCCCAAGTGGAACATAGCAGCGGGCAGCAACCCTGCGGAGCACCAGGCAACGTAGTAGAGGCAACACGGCTGCACAACGCCAAAGACGACTGCAGGGAAAGACACGGCACGCACGACCCGCAGCACGGCAACCAAGCAGCAAAGGACAAGGCAACACCGCCAAGACAACCACACTGCAAGGGACGACAGGGCGATCAGACACGCAGCAGAGCAACCATGCTAGGACGCACAAGGCAACACCAACACGGCAACCGAACTACAAGGCGTGCAAGCAAAGGACATGGAAGGCACGACCAGCGGAAGGGCGGCGGGGCAGCAGAGCAGCGAAGCGCAAGGCTACACCACAACCCGGCCACACCACACAGCGAAGATAGCAGCTTGCCAAGAACGACTCGCAAAGCAAGCGGGACGGGCAGCAAGGCAGTGGCGGAGCGTAGACGAGGCCGTCCACACATCAACACGGAGCAAAGCACATCACCTACTCACATCACGGGTAAACCCCACAAACTGTTGGTTCCCACCACCCACTGAGCCAGGGAAACACTCCGACGAGCATCCGTCATCACCTACAGCCATCACATACATCCCGAACCGAGCGGCCCCCATAAGAGTACAGTAGGCACTCCAAACGACGAACCACCGACTGTTTGGCACTACTCAAGGGTGCACAGTTGGGTAAGAGAAAATACTTAGAAAAAGATCGAGGGAGAACAGACAACAACAGGAAAATAAACAAAAATCTAACTGATTGTGTGTTTGTGTGTGTGTGTGTGTGTGTGTGTTTGTGTGTGTGTAGCATGCGTACGTCACATGCGCTTCGCATGAGTACGACACGTCATACTCATGCCACTCCGATTGGGTAACGTCGGCACACCGTGATCATGATTCACAACGCGGAAGGCGATCTTCCAACGCGGCGGGATAAAACCATCTCAAGGTCCACATATGGCAAGGGCAACACGGGGGCCGTTCATCGGCCGAAGTAGGCCACCCTTCGTGTTCCAAAGGTGACTAGAGGTGAAGGGGGGTAGGGGGTGCCTTGTAGCCGAGAAAAGCAAAAAAGCAAAATCAGCAAAAAAAAGGCAACCGCAAGTATTGCAAAAAAATGAATGAGAGCATGCGACAAGACATTTCATAATCTTAAAGCATCATTTCGAGTCGCGTAGATCCAATAACAGATCCTTAAGGGCAACCCGTTGTCGGCACGGGTCCCCATAAAGGAACCAATTCCAGAGATCAACATGCATGAAAGCAGAAGGGGAGCAATCGAGAAGTAAGAAGGTCATTCGAACGACAACAAACAGCATTAAGCTTCTCAAGGAAGAGTTGATTCTCGATTGAGCATCCATTGCTGACATGCATTCACGAGCCATATCCACCCGCATGCAATCAAACATAGAGACAACCCTTCGAAGACGAATACAGCAAAAACAGGAGGAAAACGAAAAAAGGACAAGGAAAAAGGAAAAAGAAATAAAAAAAAAAAAAAAAAAAAAAAAAAAAAAAAAAAAAAAAAAAAAAAAAAAAAAAAAAAAAAAAAAAAAAAAAAAAAAAAAAAA